AACATGTAGAATATGTGGCAGCTAACGGAGCTGGGCTTGTATCCATTTGATTTTCAGTTCAAAGAATAGAGTTCTCTTGTTCAAAAAGCCTATTTATTCTGAGTATTATACACTGTCTGTTCTTACTCTATGATGAGCTCAGTGGATACAGAAAAGCAACCTTCAGGCACTTTCTATCTCTCCAAACCTGAGCGTTGGATAAGAGTGAGTGTGACTGGCAGCAGAAGGCCAGGATGGATGCTGTGTTGACATGGTAACGTGTGAATGATGAGGTGCGATAGGGTCTAAATTGGCTCTTTGTTGTTGGCCCAGCTGTCACCTGAAGGGAGGTGCCCCCTGTGGGGACCAGCAGGACTTCCCTTAATGAGGAGCGGAGTGATGGAGACACTGATGACACTGCTGCTTCCTCTGCTGCTAACATGTTAGCGTTAATGAAGTGTGTGAACCTGCATAAAACTGTAAGTAAGCAGTCTGTCTGATGCTACATTAATATGTTGTGGAAGATCAGAGTGAAAGCACAGTACACTGAAACACAATCTAAACAACTATATTGGCTTTTGCTGAGTAGCACAGAAACCCCCTGTCCCCAATGGATTGCTGGGAGTAGTGGGATTATTGGATCCTGCCAGACACGCCCCAGGCTTGCATGTGTGTGTGTGTGTGTGTGTGTGTGCACACACGTGTAAACTCAAATCCCCCTCCAACAGCAGCTGCTGTGTACACACCCACTCTCATATAAGTGTGGTACAGTTGTTCAGAACTTTACCAGGCCTGCTCTTTATCTTGAAGTGTGTTCATGTTAGAGTGACTAACCATGATTCACTGTGCTATTGAACATCGACATTAGTTTGCTTTTTGAGAGGCATGTGTTGTGAAAGGACGTGTATAGAGGGGTATATGAAGAGGGAGGGCTGAATAGGGGCTGTGTTTGTACAAGCTTGTTTCTAGAGGCCTGTAGAGGGATTAAAGGATCAGAACCCTGATCATTTCTCTCACTCTCTCTCTCTCTCTCTCCCCCTCTCTACTCTGTATCTGAGTTTTCCCCCGAGGCAACATCTACTCCATCCAAAACATGTAACTTATCTTTCTTTTTTTGTTACATCAGTGGGTCCTTTTGCGTAATTAAGGTCACTTTCAGATAGTGCTGTAAATAAAAGACTGTAAATGAAACCCTTCTTGATGCAGCACAGACATTATTCATTAGAGTCTATGTACATAGAGATCTTCCATTAGAGATTAATGGGTGAGAGCAAGAGGTCTGTTTCCTGCTCTTGGTGTCAGATATAGATGCATAGACTCAGTCTTGTACGGAAAGAAATTGGTCAAAGGGAGCTCAAAAAGGTTGACAGACGTCAGATTTTCTGTCAAATCGTGCTCAGTAGTTCGTCTTAAGTTGAGAAGTTGAGATGGCTACTGTTGGTGATGTATTGTTTTTTACAAGTGTAAAATGTGTATTTTGTCCAGTGGACCACACACACCCACCTTGACCCACGTCAGGAGCCCAGCTCTGAGAATTGCCCGTGGGATGGAATTACAGCTCGGGCCTCTTCACGAACAGCTCGATTGTCTCGGCTGTGGATAGGACGGATTTATTGGATACCTGAGAGAGCATTCTCTCCTTCCCCTGCACTCTCAGCAACCTGCTTAGAGACAGGCCTGCATTATAGATGAGCTTCTGGCAGCCCCTACACTCTCACAGCGCTCAGGTTACCCCCTCAGCAGATACAGTATGTAACATATATGCAGCATCTATGTGAACCAAGGGTTAGGATGCAGACCATCTAGCTTTGAGCAAAATCTGCTTTGAGTCCCTTTGAGGAACTTTTTTTTCACCCTTACCCAACTTTGTTTTATTGTCAGGTATCAAAAAAGATTAAAAGAGATGTTCAGATACTAATATGGGTCTCTGAAATGTCTCTGACCTTAAATGTTCTATCAGTTATTACTGTGTATGCCATTCAATGCACTGAGCACATATAATCCATGAGCCCACTCAAAGTGTTTCTTCTTCTCAAATCAAAAGGAGAATTTATATTTTCCATACAACAGATAGTTTACACTCTTTATTTGATTGGACAAGAGACCTTCATGGGTGCTTGAGTACAGCAACACTGAGGCGTATAACTACATTTATCACTCCGCATCAGGTGTAAGTTAATGATCACAGTTAATTAAACAACAGACAGTCTATGCCTGGAATAATCTATCACACAGGCCACCAAGGAAAATGTCAACACACTGGTTGCTTTATAAATGGAAACATTTGAATAAGACAAAGTAGCTGGTTTGACATAGACATACTAGCAAGAGTGCAGGTAAAAGTTGGGGTTTCTTCGGTTCAGTCAAGTTCTTGTCAATTTTCGGAACTAAAATCAATGATTAGAGTTAGAAAATATATATAAATGATGTTAGTGCTGTTATGTAAAGCAATATCACATTCCAGGCTAAAAAAAACACAGATGTTTTTATGGTTGGCATTCTGTCTGTGGCTTTGTAATAATGACTGAGTAACATCCATGCTATATGGTAGTTACTAGCAGCTTCAGCAACCAAGAAGAAGTGATTTCATGTAAATGAACATGTGAAGATGGCAGACAACTACAAAGGCAACAATGCATTGATAGTTCAAAATTGTATGTTAGTCAAAGATAGCAACATGAGCAGTCTTGTGTGTTCCAACAAAATGTTTAAGGCATTTAAGGTTGTTTATTTAAGATTCATAGTTATGACAATTACTTTGGTTAAAAAAAGTTTCATGCGGTGCAGATGGCCTAGCAGTAAGGTGGTGCCCCATGTATAGAGGCTATCATTGTCCAAGCGGGCAGCCCGGGTTCTAATCCGACCTGCGGCTCCTTTCCCGCATGACTCTGTCTCTACTCTGCACTGTCCTATCTAATAACGGCACAACAAAATTATATCTAAAATTTAAAAAAATGTTTCATTACAAAGGTCAGGGTTTCTTCAGCACTTTTGGGTGGACAAAGCATGTCAGACGGCTCTTCGGATTTTCTTTTTTGTGTAACAAGCTAGGCTGAACAGAAATAATGCAAGACAGATGATAAATAATAGTTTTAATGGAGATTTTTTCTTTTCTTCTGATACTCGTTAGTTTGACAATAATGTCCATTTTTGAGTGAAAGTATCAGACATGGTTTGTTTTGTAGCTTTGCAGCGTTTCAGCAGTAACACTATCTACATCAAAGGGATCACAGCTTTATTGTACTTTGACCTATGCCAACAGGAAAAGCTGTGTGTTCATGCCAATGTTCCCGTAGAGTGCAGCATAGATGAAGTGTGTTTCTGTTGGACCTCCCACCTGCCCTCTCCCCTTCAGGAAACTTCCACGTCACCAAAGCCAGCTCACTCTCCTCCCTCCTGGACTTTGATCTTTTGTTCCCGACTGTACAGCTTCTCAATATCTCCCTTCCTCTGTCCGTCACTCACGGTTTTCCACTGCCCCCTCAAACTTGATTGGATTTCTAAGGCCATGTCCCCATGGGTTTACAGAGGGGGAAATCAAGTCTTTCACAAAGCAATTTATTCACTGCTTATGGTGCTTTTTGCAAAGATTGGTAAACAAGCACAGCCAGACTTGATAAATGACCATCTGCAAACACAGTGTACTCTACAGTTGCAACAAATTAGAGTCTATGTGCAGGATTTGAACACTTCCCAGTGGTAGAGGTGAAAAGGTCAGACTGGCAGCATTGCACACCAATACGCTTTCAGAGACACTGACATGACGAGAGAAGGGGAAACAGAGTGTTTCTTCTGGATTGTCTTATTTTTTCAAAATAGAAACAGAACAAGTGGATTTTATAATCATGACAAATTAAGTAGTTTTCTTATATCCATCTTTAATATAGAGCATAACCTTTTTGCCGATTGTTCTTCATTAAGAGTGATTTTTTAAATCATACCACACAAACGGAGAAGCCATTAGAAGCTAACCGTCATTTGTTGTCCAAGCCCATTTTTTGGTCACCCGATAACTCCTTAGTAAGATAAATTTGTGATTTGTGAGATTGTATGACGCTATTCATATCTTAGAAATGGTAGTAGAAGGATGTTGAGTTGAGACGATATAACCCCCGTTGATCCATGTCTGTTCATTAAGCTGTCTCATCCTATACTACTATACTATATATACTTTGTGTGGTGTTGTAGACAGTGCCGCCACTATTTTTCTTCTTTTTTTTTTTACTGTGAGGTGACATGTACTTTATTAATATTTGAGGACAGGCTTTAATTGAACTAATATTGTATTTTAATGTAGTTTTTTTATGGTAATATTTTAATTTCTCAGGCTTTCATTGGCTACAGCAGGCAAACACACGTTTTTCTTGTTGCTTTATCCACAAACTATGTTTCAAATTTTGACTTTTAGGAAAGGTGTGTTGTATCCCCCTCCTTCGCAGTGGTCAAGCAGCATCTTGCTGTGGGTCTGAGGTGGGCCGCTGGTTAAGCAGTGAGAATGGGCTGTGTGTGCGCCAGATGTTTTGCTCTCTGCAGTCCTAATAAATAGAGAGCGCTTTAATCCCAGCTATACTGTTTATGCTTCACATAGAACACTGTAAAGCCTTGTGTGTGTGTGCGTGTGTGTGTGCATGTGTGTCTTTGTGTGATCGGTTTAGTCAAACTGTTTCCCAGAAATTTCCAAGAATTACATTTATGTGCTCTGCAGTGTCGTTCGTACAACAACTGTCTCTTACAATATGCCCTAATTTAAACAGATTTCCAACCCCTCCCCTTCCTGCTGTGATTTCTCTCCATAGTTGAAAAAAAATGTAAGCTCTTGAAATCCCACAGCTCAGAGAGGAATTGAGAGGATTGCATTGTCTTTGTGGGTGTGATATTGCACCTCTTTATGTTCCAAGCATCCGAATAGGTCTAACTTATCTTCTTTTAATTTAAATTTGCATTAGGCTATATTTTCCTTTTACTGTATTATTAGCTAACATGTCTTTCTTTCTGATTATTTCTGTCTCCACATTCTGCAGGTGAATTTCAGCGTTTAGACGAACACTCGTGTTAGGACGCACTCAATCCATCCTCACTGGGCGGCCCATGCACATGCACGACAACATGGGTAGCTCCCCGGAGGTGCTCTCGTGGACTTCCTGCCCCAGTCTACTGGTGGGCAAACTGAAGGAGGAGCTCAAACTCACTGTGGCTGGGGACGGAATGAAAAAAACAAACTTGCCCAACACCCAACCTCAGCCTCCTCAGGCACCTCCTTTGAACCTACCTCCTCAGATTATCACAGACTTGGCCCCGCCCACACACCTGCCTGTTCCCCTGCAGACGCTACAGACGTCTATTCAGGATGAGGACTCAATGCTGGGGGGTATAACTCCCCCTCACGTAGCTTTGAGCGTGGATTCCACAAGGAGCGAGGGCGGACACTTTGACAACAGCGTGCTCCAGCTGCAGGAGCACGACCACGAGGAGGCTGTGTCACCGGCCTCATGTGAGCATGGCGGGTGTGGGTGTGGGAGTGGGATGGAGGAGCAGATGGAAGAAGGGGACTGTCCCATGGATCACAGTGGAGAGGGGAGGCAGAACCACCACCCCCACCACCCTGATGACATCAAGCTGCACTTCCAGAGAGCAGGTCCTGGTTCGGGCGGCTTCTTAGAGGGGTTGTTTGGCTGTCTGCGGCCCGTCTGGAACATCATCGGGAAGACATACTCGACAGAATACAAGCTGCAACAGCAAGGTTAGTCTCATTTCTCCTAATGTAGTCTACAACCTTAATTAAATAGCCATCCCCAGATTCACAATATTGCTGTAGTGGGTGAAACTGTACTGCTGTCAGTTTGAATTGAGGTCGTGGTTTAGGTAGACTCACCTTGCTGCAGGGCTGCCTGTGCAGGCTGCACACAGAGGATGCAAGTCGAGGTTAGACAGAACGAGGCTCGGCCAGCTAATGTCCAAACGTTAAGGGATGAAGATGTTAGCTGCGTAGTTTCTACTCTTTGCCTGTTTTTAAACCTAATAAGGAAAGTGGATTACATATGACGCACTATTTATACAACATCTGAGACATTTGTAGCAGTTGTGCACAAGGCTAAAAAAAATATTTTTTTATGTTATCCACATCTGTTGTGTGTCTTTTTTATGGATGTTTACAGGTGACTGACACTACATGGCATGTGTATAGTCCTATAACTGTCACTATTTTTCTTAGGATAGAACCTTTTATAGTAATAAATCAACCTTTATTTGTTTCACATCTTTCACAATGATTTGTCATTGATGTGAGGTTGCAAGAAACCATCAGAGAATAAAGGAAGTAATAGCACCTAGCTAAGCAGTAAACCAAAACATAACCCCTTTCAAATGATAAATGTCTCTATTACTTTTTGTTTTGAATAAAGGATAGAAATAAACAAGTTTTAACGTGATAATATGTGAACTTTACAGGTGTTGGTAGTTTGATCTTTGTTGTTCCTGCGGTTCCCCCGTGATCGAGTCTTTTTGCTTAGCTAAGCTAACTAGCAGTTTCTTACAGCCTCACACGATCATACCAACAAGATAAGTGTTATCTATGTACCCAGTAGGATTCACTTCATTTCAAAGAGAACGTATGACAGCATTAAGTAAAAACTAATTGTTTATACCTCTAAAGGCACAATACCTAATACGCTTCTGTATTTACAAATATGATTGACTTGTTTCCAGACATGTGGGAGGTTCCATTCGAGGAGATTTCAGAGCTGCAGTGGCTCGGCAGCGGTGCACAAGGAGCCGTCTTCTTGGGAAAGTTCCGCTCTGAGGAGGTGGCCATCAAGAAGGTGCGCGAGCAGAAGGAGACGGACATAAAACCCCTGCGAAAACTCAAACATCCAAATATCATCAGCTTCAAGTAAGTCTGCCTTACGTGTGTGTAAACAAATGTTGACTCATTTTTTTCCAGCCGGGGAATAATAATAATAATAAATGTCATTCCTGTGTTTTGTCCAGGGGTGTGTGCACGCAGGCACCTTGTTACTGCATCATCATGGAGTACTGCGCTCAGGGCCAGCTGTATGAGGTGTTGAGAGCGGGGAGGAAGGTGACCCCGAGGCTGCTGGTGGACTGGGCCTCAGGCATCGCCAGCGGCATGAACTACCTACACCTGCACAAAATCATCCACAGAGACCTCAAGTCTCCCAAGTGAGTATTCTCTTTTCTAGTTATATTAAGAGAAAACAGACTGATTTTAAACTTGTGCAGTTAGAAAAAAAAAAACTCTGAGCAGAAGCCTTATTAATGACTAGGTTTAGTCACTGTGGGTCTTATTCAGTGAAATATCTACAGTATGAATCACAATAAAATTGATATTTCCCCAGATCTACAAAAGAGTACTGTATGTTTTTTTGGTGTTGTCACGGTTATAGATCAGCTGATCCGTTAATCTCACGAAAAGCGCTTAGCAGCCTTGTTTAGTTTTTGTTGGCCCATTGCAACAAAAACAATTCTTCCTTTCAGCTGTGGCTGCTCTGACATTAAATTAAATGCCATTCTCAGAATTAATAAAAAGCTTGTCCCCTTAACTTACAAGTAAGACACAGTGTCCTGTCTCATGCTGCTCATCCTGTCTCATCCTGCGCACACTGTAGCCCTGTTCCTCTAATCAATATTATCATGCTGCAGCAGTGCTGAACACTGTATTAGTCAGCAGAATGATAGCAGGCTGAATGTGCAGGAAAGGTCAGTCTCATTTAGCTAATGGAGTGATTCAGATGCAGAAATGCTTCTGACAAAGCTGAGTCTTTTAGGCTTAAAGATTAAAATTCTGCCAAATTAGAAGAAAATCTCATTCCTCTTCCAGAACGGAGGAAAGTTTGAAAAAATAGAAAAAAAGGATTGTTTAACTCAGGTCATTTGACCTGGTTTAATGTCAGTCTGACACTGCTATCCCCTGATATGATTGGTTTTAACACGTGTGTGCGTGTGTGTTTTCTGTGTGTTTTAGTGTTTTGGTGACCCACAACGACACTGTGAAAATCTCTGACTTCGGAACGTCCAAAGAGCTCAGTGACAAAAGTACAAAGATGTCATTTGCTGGTACAGTGGCCTGGATGGCCCCAGAAGTGATACGAAATGAGCCTGTATCTGAAAAAGTAGATATATGGTGAGTGCTAAAATTGTGCATATTTACATTACTATATTATATTCTAAGAAATAAATAATAAAGATGTAAATATGCAGGTTATGACAATTCAAGCTTGAACTTGACAAAAAGCTACAAAATTGAAAGACTGTTTAAGTGTTTTTATTAGGGCTGGACACGTTAACGCGTTATTTTCGCGTTAACTCATTAATTAATTATAGCCGACAATTATTTTATCTCGCATTAACGCAGTTTTTATTATTTATTTTCTTATTGTAAAAGTCTGTTGCTCACTGGCTTTTATTTTGTAAAATTCTATCGTGAGCGAGTCTAGTATGTTGCTTACTGCTGCGCATGTCTGCTGCGGCGCTCACAGGAAAGAGGAAACAGTGTTGCCAACTTGACGACTTTCTCGCTAAATCTGGCGACTTTCCAAACCCCCTTGGCGACTTTTTTTGTCAACAGCTACTAGCGACAAATCTAGCGACTTTTTCTGGTGTTATTGGAGACTTTTTTGGTGTAAGAAACTGACGTGAAAGCACGTATTGCTCTGCAGTCACTGTCCTCAACGAGCAGCGGGTGCTGCCGTGAGCCCCTCCTCCTTCCAAAAGCACTCACAGGCTGTCAGTGTAGCCTCGAGCAGCAGACCCAGCTGCAGTCAGAGAGCAGAGAGGAGACCCACACCACTCTGTGTCCACACTGCAACCAATGCAATAAGCTTTAGTTTTGTATTTATTTGCTTTGATTACGTTGTTTAAGTTGAGAAGTACATTTACAATAAAAGTGTGCTATACACTACTTTTGAATTCATTATTGGATTTTGCGTATAACAATGCGATTAATCGTGATTAATCACAGGAACTCATGCGATTAACGCGATTAAAACTTTTAATCGTCACTAATAGTCTCCTACTTTACAATCCTTCTGTAGATTGTTACCATGTACAGACCTGATTCACTCTCCTTGTGCTCTGTAGGTCCTTTGGTGTTGTGTTATGGGAGCTTCTGACTGGAGAGATTCCCTACAAAGACGTGGATTCCTCTGCCATTATTTGGGGTGTTGGCAGCAACAGTCTCCACCTTCCTGTTCCCTCCACCTGCCCCGATGGCTTTAAAATCCTCATGAAGCAAACATGGTGGGTGTGATGAAACATCATTTCTGCTCTCATCATACTCACAGTTGATGTTCAAATGGTTTGGGGTCAGCATCTGTATTAAAGGTCACATATTATGTTACACTTTAACATGGTTTTCTAGCACTCATATGTGGCCCTAACATGTCTACAGACTCCTCAATCATGAAAAAAGGTCCATCCTCTTTTCCTTTCAGGAAAATGTGTGCTCAAACAGGCCGTTTGGAGATTTTCCCTTAATGGTATCACAAAGGGCAGTAACCCCTCCCTCAGGTGGATGACACTCCCACAGCTAGGTGTTTGTGCTGCCCTCTGAGTCTGCCTTGCAATCCCCTTTAAGAGAGGGGAATGGTCAGACACAGCTACAGACACAGAAACAGCCTGTTCTGAGCAGGGCTAGTATAGAGGGGTTTATAGGCATGATAACAATCTGAGTGGACTTTGAGCAAGAAACTTAAGTGTCATGTTTTGGGGACGTCTGATACTGAATTCAAACTGGTTTAAATGGAGTATGATATGTGACCTTTAAAAAAATGCTAACCATGCACCACAAAGGGTGTCCTGAAAGCTAATTCTTTGAGAAGGTTTTTTTCATTGTGTATTTGAGTTTTAATCACATCTGCTCTCCCTTCCTTCTGCTGATTTTGCTGATCCTTTGCCAGGCAAGGCAAACCTAGGAATAGGCCTTCATTTCGTCAGATCCTATTACATCTGGACATTGCCTCTGCTGATGTCCTGGGAGCTCCCCAGGAGACCTACTTCAAGTCTCAGGTCTGCACTGTTACTACAAATCAGTCTGAGGATTGTACAGGCTTCTTTTCCTAAAATATTGCCCTTACACTGAGTGTTGTGCTCAAGCTCTAGACTGCTTAGATTTATTCTAGATGATAATGTTATTTTAGTTACAGTGCTGAGAATCTACATTTGATGTGATATTTACTGTTCATCTAAATTACAGTCAGAATGGAGAGAGGAGGTGAAGAAACATTTCGAGAAGATCAAGAGTGAAGGCACCTGTATCCACAGGCTGGATGAAGAGCTCATCCGGCGCCGGAGGGATGAACTGAGGTGTGTAATAAATAAGAGCCAGAGAGAAAGATCTCCAACTCTACAGTAAAAGAAAGCAAAAGTGAAAATTTTGTCTGCTGATGACATGATGTCAGTTTCTCCTGATTTCATAAAGAATCCTATATATTAAGGACAATTAGATTTTTGAAATTAAAGTTCAAACTGTTGAGAGTAATCATTTTGCCTGCTTTTTCTGCACACATTCAGGCATGCTCTGGACATCCGGGAGCACTATGAGAGGAAACTAGAACGAGCAAACAATCTCTACATGGAGCTCAGCGCCATCATGCTGCAGCTGGAGGTCCGGGAGAAAGAACTAATGAAGTATGTAAACAATTTATCACAGTAGTCATTGGTCAGCTTTACTACTATTGTACTCATGTTTTCTTTATCATCTACCACCACTTACCTCCTCCACTGAGGTATTTCAAGTGATTTTATATCTGAAATTATAACAGTTACTGGGGAGATAACTGATGTTATAGTAAGAAGAGAGAGAACAGTAGTCAGTGTTTTGGTTTGGTTTTGAATTCACTAGAACAACAGGGCATATGAGTCACATCACTTTTTTACATATTTCCACCCAAGCCTTCTTTGGCATGTATTTGTTTTTGCTGAGAAAGAGGAATAAAACGCATTCAAGTGTTGATGTTTTGTTGCCTGTCCTTGACCTGTTTTTTGATCCATATTAATTTTCTTCCTCTTCTGAAATATTACTTACAGGAAGAATAGCTTCTCGCTATGCTGAAGCTAATGGGGATCCAAATAAAACAAACAAACAAACAAACAATTGCTGTGTACCTTCTCTTATCACTGTAGGATAACCTAAAATGAAAAGAAAAGTTATTTTAACTGTCATGAAAACCCCAAACTAATTCTGTCCCCTCTACAGGAGAGAGCAAGCAGTGGAGAAGAAATATCCCGGGACATATAAGCGCCACCTGGTCCGACCCATCGTCAGGTCCAACGCCGTAGAGAAGCTTATCAAGAAGAAAGGAAGCATTTCCCACAAACCGGGGATGCCATCCGCTAAAAGGTATGTAGCGTAAAAAAAGCACATTTGTTTCTAATGCTACACATCCATTATCATTTGCAGGTTCTCCTCGATGAGATTAACATTCATTTAAATAAGTGACAAGGCTCAGTAGAGTAGGATAAAGAACTTTTTGTTATTGAATCATTCATGTTGCATAACAGTAACGTTGCTGAATGCATTTCTTTCAGGCCCGACTTGCTTCGTTCTGATGGCATCCCCAGTGTCGACTCTCTTCCCTCCCCCTCGCCACTATCGGCAAGCCCTAAAGTCTCAACGCCTCCCGGCAAAGCCCGATACAGAAGCAAGCCTCGCCACCGCCGCGCCAACAGCAAAGGCAGCCACAGTGAGTTCCCTGGGCTGTTGAAGTCTATAGCTGGAGCCTCAGAGGACACACAGTCTCTTCAGGAGCAACAGTTCCACCATCACCACCACCACACACTACCTGAGGGGGCCCTCCTCCCCTTGAAGGGCCGCGAACAGGCCGTTGTCAACTGTGCCAATAACCTACGCTACTTCGGCCCCGCGGCTGCCCTCCGCAGCCCCCAGACGGACCACCTGCAGCGCCGCGTTTCTGAATCCAGCCCCGACCTCATATCCACCGCGGTGGACGCAGACACGCGACAGAGGACTTCATCCACCAGCTCCAACCACGTCCCAGGTGCTGGTGCTGGCTCTCTGTGTCCCTGCTGTCAGGCTCACCCCTTCCCTGGATGCCTTCACTGTCAGGAGACCCCTCCAGTATCAAACCACCCAGAGTTACCTCACTACTCACTGCTCAACACGCAGGAAAGCACCCAGTCCTTTTTGGGGGCTCCCGGCAAAGACCAAACTACAGACAGCGAGGCCACCAAAAAGACCGAGCCACAGGAACGTGACGCATCGGAACACACACACACCCTCCCCTCTGCCCTGCCCCGCATTCTCAGACCTCTCAGGAAGGTGAGCACAGCTGGAGTCCTCTCGTGACTGACCCTGTGGTGAGTGTTTGTGGTATAAAACTGTGAAGCTGATGTAGTAACAGCTGTGATTGTCTCTCTTGCAGGGAGGCGATGAGTCATCTGAAGAGGAGGAGGGGGAGGTAGATAGTGAAGTGGAGTTTCCAAGAAGACAGAGGTAAAGCTCAGTTAATCATCAAATGTTCCACCTTGATCTAATACTATCATATCATGTTTTTCAACACAAGAAAATAAAAGACTCTCCTAATTTTAACCACAGCAATCATCATGTAGATTACAATATGTATTCAAGGAATCAAATGCATATGAACAGTGTCTAAAATGTACCTTTTTCTCTTCCTCGAAGACCTCATCGCTGCATGAGCAGCTTTCAGTCCTACTCCACCTTCAGTTCAGAAAACCTGTCCGTGTCCGACGGCGAAGAGGGAAACACCAGCGACCACTCCCACAGCGGACCCCTAGAGAGGATGAGCGCCAGCCAGGAGGAGCACCTGGATGAGCTGCTGTCGCACACACCGGACATCCCCATCGACATCTCCACCCAGTCAGACGGCCTGTCTGACAAGGAGTGTGCTGTCCGTAGGGTGAAGACCCAGATCTCACTGGGAAAACTGTGCTCTGACGAACACAGCTACGAGGTCAGCATTGTGGATGTGCTATCATGTTGGCTCGGTGTTTTCATTGTTCAACACACATCAGAGTGTCAGCTTGTCCGCCAAACCTTTTAGTCCACAATAAAATATCTGAACACCTTTTACATTTATTTCAAATTTCTTATAGACCCCTTTGTATCCTAGAATATGAATCGTGCGGCTGCAGATTCTCATTTGTGAGAAAAGTCTCAACACCTATTGGATGGAATAGAATTAAATTAAGCACAGACATACATTTCCTCATTAGATCACCATTACTGGTCATCCCTAACTTGTCATCTAGCGCCATCAATAGGTTTCCGTCTTAATTTGTTCATTGCTTTGGTAGCACCTAATAATAGTAATAATAACTTCAAAGGGCTTTCCACTAAACAATGTTACAGAACAGATAAAATAAACTGAATAAAAGAGTTATATAACATTACAGTCGAGGATACAGAAAAATATTGGCTCTTTATTAAGTACAGAAGGGAAAAAAATGTATGTGTTCACAGTTGGGTCACAAAAACACCATGATAAGATTTTAAAATTGATAAGAGTTAATCTATCCCCCTATTATTGGATCCATGCTTACATCTCTTCTTGTTTTTCGTTCTCATTATTCTCCCAGAATCCACTACAGTTTGGGGACTCAGACTGTGATTCATCAGAAGCAGAGTGTTCAGACGCCACCATCAGAAACAACAAAGCTGGGGCTCCATCTTCGTGGTGAAAAGGTCCCCAGGGCTTAGTTCTGTTTTTGCCTGGAGGCCATCGTGTCCCATTCTGCTCTGCAGAAAACACAGCAATAAGAGGACCACATTGTAAACAAAGCTCCCTATAGCAAAGCCCCATGCAATCTCTCCCAGGACCCCCCTTGTCCCCCCCCCCCCCCCCCCCTTCATTAGACCCAGTCTGCCCCATCTCTAGCACAGCATCCAGGCAACCCATGGCAGGGATTCCCTTTTGAATGATAATGTAGATAGTCTCATAATTTATTTTTTCTGCGTTTTGAAGTAAAATGATGACCTTATGAATATTCTCTGATCCAAACAGAGGAAGACATTTTAAAACTGGGCAAACTGTGCATTGTCTATAGATTGAGACTGGACAAAGATGCAAAGGATAATAAGATGTCAGAAAGCTAGAATGGTGGAGTGACATCCCTGCAATTGTTGATCTGGCTCTTAGAAAACCCAACAGAGAGACGTGCTCTGATTAAGATCAAAAGGCTTTATCATTAGTTTACAGCGCAGAGCCTCAGAAACCCACCTCCCTGACTTCCATCCCGTCCCCACCACACTGAGTGGGGAAGAGGGAGCTCATGAAAACAGTGCAAAACACCAGCATGAACAACCTGCCTCGCTACCGGACTCTCTCCCTAAGTCTCTTCCTCCCTCCCTAGAAACAGTGTCCAGTCATCAAGGCTCATGCTGAACTGTACTAGCATGCTTGTGCGGCTTGCAAAATTCACAAGGCTGCAGGAAGACTGCATGAAGCGGGACAAGCTGGCAGAGCATCAGCGAAGAAGAAAAAAAAAACACCCCAAAAAAAAAAAGAGTCTGTTCCTTTGTGATGCAGCTCATCCTTCTCCGAGACACGCCAACGTCATTGTCATCATAAATCAGATGTCATGACCCAGAGTTCTTAAGGGAGTTATAAGTGTGTGTGTGTGTGTGTGCGCGTGCGTGCGTGCGCGCGTGCGTGCGTGTGTGTTATGATGAAGGCCGTTCCTCTCCATTAGATACTACAGTTTCAAGTCTCATCTCAGGATCGTTTGGAGGACTGTGAGAAACTGGATTGGACCAATTGTTGTATGTAGGAATCTTCTTAGGGTGGCACTTAATAAGGACCGTGCAGGATTATTATAGGAAAAAAAAAAGTCTTACAGGTAGCCTTGATGTTCAACCCTTTTATCGCTGTAACAGACATTAATGTCTATGTAAAGATTCAGAGCGGTTTAGTTACAATCCAGGTGCAGTATCCCCTTTCTTGAAACTACTCAGTGCAGCATCTTCCATGTTCCATTTTCTAGCAGGGTAATTTATACTGTCTAACACGCAGCGTCCAATAAATGTTCATCTATGCTGTAGTCGTAAAACAGCAATAATGTAGACTGGGCATGTAGTAGTCTAGCAGGCTAGACACAACAGAGTGACTGGTGGCTAGATAGGAGCAGGAGGTGTACAACAGCTTAAAATATAAGCTTTATTTTTTATATTGTCCCTACTTTGTGAACTTGCCTTTCCAGAGATTGATGCTCAGGTTTTATGTTGCCGATTTAGAGCAGGAGCAATATATCCACAGCCACTAGATGGAGACAGTTACAATAGCTTTTCCATGTGTTTTTGTAATTATCATGACTCCATTCTTTTCTCTTTTTTTCCCCTTACCCAAGGGATATTATCTTCCCATGAGCATCCAAATCCAAGAATCCCAGCAATTTCACTTTTTGTCTTGTTGTCTTTGAAATGGGATACTGCACCTGAGAGAGCTTTATTTTTCACCCCTGTGAGAGTGTTTGTCATCCCACTTTAATTAATTACTGTGCAGTTGAAATAACTGCCAGCCAGGGTTGAATTTAACGTTAACGATGTCAAGATGTCAGCTCAAGTGTATGCAGACGGCTGAGTTTCTAAGTTAGGAATAAAAAGCCAGAGACAAGGCCACAGAGCCATTAAGCTCTCGGCTTTCAACAACCTCATCTCAGTGTTAGTTACTCCTGTATATAATCAACTGTAAATGTAATGTAACCTGTTTTTGTCCTCTCTCTTTAACGTATTGCACAGCTCAGACAGAAGCCTCAAGTTTCTGTCGCTGACGACCAGCCAACTGGTTTGAAATAAGCAGGAAATTCCTTAATCCGTATCACATCAGTATTGAACACTGCAGGAGGGTGTGAGTCATATGATCGTAGAATCTAAACCAGTACTGATGAATAAATTACCTTTTGCCTGACAGCTTTGGAAAGGCTCAGCAGCTGCTGCCTTTCCACTAGCCTCCTTCAAACCTTCTTCACTCTGTTTACGTTTGTGTGAAATAACCTTGTGTATCCTTATGACTGTGTAATTTGATCAAGCTGTTAACGTTTATCTTTCTGGCATATATCCTGTGAAGTATGACTGATTGTTGTAAAGTTTTAATTTAATATTGATTTTTTTCTTCTTTTTTTTCTTTGTAGCTGGCCTACATGATTATTGAGTTAATTTATTATGCTATGGTTTTTTGTTCTTTTTAATTTCAGGCAGCTTTAGAAATGTCATGACCTGTGATTCCTCCTGAGAAGTATTATATAAAGAAAGCACAATGATTTGGTATGGGAAGAAGACAGTATTTTTACAGTACGGTTCAACAAAAAGCATTGTCATATAGTGAGCATCTCTTTTTTTTTCTTTGGGACCACTCGTCATCTTGATGTTCATTGCGGATGAAGTATTGATTAGCAGCATGAAGTGTTCCTCAGGTTTTAGTCAACCTGACGGAGGTCTTCTACAACCAAAAGTCAGTAACTGAACTGTTTCAGCAGGGTTAACGGAACAATAGGGTTGTAGTTATGTGTGATGCCGATTTTGGTGCTTCTGCAGAAATCCCTCCCTCTCATTTTTTAATCCAAATACCAGTTACTTACATCTGAATCTCTCTGAAATCGTCTCTAACTTGTTGACGTCATGTTGCCTCATCCCATGTATCAAACATATGTTTTCTTTGTTAATCTCATTTCCAACTCTCTTACCTGTTGAATGGCATTACGATCAACCAATCCCGTCAGTTTCCTGTATTATCCAGTGTACAGTGCAACTGGTATCTTGGGGGAATAAAATCAGAGCAAATTACTGCATGGAATAAATGCTGATGTACTGTACCCAACAAACTGGTCTGTCTCTTCTGTGTTACAACTGGTTCCTGTTGATTTTATATCTCATCAACTACATAAATAGCTCATTTGGAATGACAGAAATGTATGAATATGTTGAATTCTAGTGTTAATTTCATGTTATTATTACACGACCAATAGTCTGAGCCATAGGTTTATTTACCTCATTAACATATCCATGATTTAAGAGTTACTGAGCCCACAGAATCTTGTTTAAGTTTCATATGAGAGTTTAGTTCTATTTCCTGTTATTGTTTGCCCTTGTGTTAAGATCTGGAGAAGATTACCACACTCAAGCACAACATTCAAATATAATATTCTAAAGAGTGCAAGAAGTAAACTAGAAATCATACTGAAGATATGATGAGTCATTTAACATGAAATAAATGTTTTTTTATATATCAGAGGCCATTTGTCTAGGCCAACAGTAGCTTACTGGGCGTGGTAATGTTGCAATGGTGTTTTGTACAGCTATTAAAATATTAAGCACCTACTTGGGGCTAAATTCATATTTAAAGTGAAAATTTAACTCCGAACGTGGTGAATTTCTACGGCAGCGTATTGCATTCATGTGGAGAATTTTTTTTTTTGCCTGGTTTCTTGTTGTTACGAGATAAAGATCTCGTTATTACGAGAAAAGATCTCATTATAACGAGAAAAGATCTCGTTATAACGAGATAAAGATGTCGTTATTACGAGAAAAGCTCTCGTTATAACGAGAAAAGATCTTGTTATTACGAGAAAAGATGTCGTTATTACGAGATAAAGATGTCTTTATTACGAGAAAAGATCTCGTTATTACGAGAAAAGATCTCGTTATAACGAGAAAAGATCTCGTTATTCCGAGAAAAGATCTCGTTATTCCGAGAAAAAAAGATCTCGTTATTACGAGAAAAGATCTCATTATAACGAGAAAAGATCTTGTTATTACGAGAAAAGATCTCGTTATTACGAGAAAAGATCACATAACAGACTAAAATGATACTAGAGGGGTAATGAAGTTTGCATTGTGGCAGGCAGAGGAGGGAGGAAGAAAAGGCAACGATGACCAGAGTTATTGATTTGATTGCGTTTTATTTCCATCTTGGGTTAAGACATTGGGAAATATTAGTGTCTTTGAGTAACATAGATGGTATTATCATGAGCATGTCAACTTTGCGCAGGCATCTGAAGGCGTTAAGGTTCTTTCATTAAATGATAAAAAGCCATTAATAAGATACCATTCTGGTATAATGTTACACAAACACATACATTTAACAAGTTAGCCAATTAACAATTACTATAGCTAATACCTGATTCTCCACCTTGTAATGAGCTGCCGCTGGTGTACTGTGCACTCCCATAAACAAACCTGTGCCTCCTCATAGCCACCACCCTAATGCTTTTCTTGTTATAACGAGATCTTTATCTCGTAATGACGACATCTTTATCTCATAATAACAAGAAACCAGGCAAAAAAAAACAACTCTCCACATGAATGCAATACGCTTCTGTAAATTTCTATTAATATCCTTGTTTCTATTTTTATAGTATACCTTAATCTAGTTAGTAATTTTGATGAGAATAGTAGGCTTTAAAAAATATATAATATCACAAACAATAGCCTACAAGTCATGCGTGCTGTACATATGCAGGGGCGTTGTAGTGGGGGGATAAGTGGGACTGACTACCCAGGGCTCTAGTGGGGTGGGAGGCCCTTCATGGGCCTGAAATAAAAATGTATTTCTTATTTCTCTTTTTTCTCTATGTTATTAACGCAATAAGATAACTAGAATTGTCTGAATAAATAAACAAACATTCAGAATTCCTTTCTGGAAAAAATGTGGAGTCTCTCTAAAAGGCCCTCTCCCCCCCTTCTGAATGTGCAGAATGGTTTAGTCCTCCCACCACCTCTCGACTGGATTGATCTTTCAGCAGTCAGTCGAGTCAGGAGTGAGAGATGTGGCAGGCTGTAGATTAAACCAGTTGTTAGAGGAATTCAGCCAAGAATATCGTTTTGATCATATCTGTGTTTTATGTAGAAATATATCTTATTAATCCCCTTCATAGATATGATTTCATACGACCCTATTTTCTAAAAAGATATTACATCGCAGTCAAAAAGAGTCCACTTTGGAGCTATATTTAGCGTCTTTCCCAGCGAGCTACAGTAACATATTTGATATCAACAGATTCAGTGTAGTTCCTATGATATCAATGTTGTCGCGCTAGCATTAAAACTGAGTCCGCTACTTTTGCCCCAAAAAAAACATTTTGAACGTCAGGTGAGACAAATGGTAATGCAGTGTAAGAAGAATTAAAGTGAAGTCAGAACTGAGAAGAACTATTACAGCCTAAAAAGTCATGCTGACAAGTGTGGTCGAATCTAATTCAGATGTATTGTACGTTTACAGTTTATCATTAATGCCAGTAGAATTTTTAATTCAATAAGCTAACCAATAAGATCACTTTAGACAATAAAAGCCTTTACAACATTAACTATAGCAAGTTAATAAGTAAAATAATGTTGCTGGAAATGTTTCAACTGTCTGAAAGGTGCAAATATTACAAAGTTTAAATTATGTTTAAGCTATGAGGAAATATTACAGTGGTTATTTATCTCCCATTTTCAGGGTGTAAAACAAAGCATAGTTGTTCAAAGTTTTTATGGCTCATTTGTGTGATGGAGGTGTTGTTGTAGAAATTCTCTGGGGTTAGTTTGGGCTGTGGTAGGGGCCCTATGTGAGATCTTTTCATGGGGCCCGGAGTTCCTGGCGTCGCCCCTGTACGTATGTGTACGTGCTGTTGAAGACATCAAAAGGTGAACGCCCACTGTTCCTCTCCTTTGGACAGGGCGGAGTCCAGAAGTGTCAGCGCTGACTGTTTTCAGAGAGTAAACCTGCAGAAAGGAGGAAGCGACATCTGGGTTGACCTCAGGCTTACCAAACCAACACTTTCCTTCACTCGTTAACAGTCATTTCTTAATTGTCCTCCAGTTTGTCTGTTTTAAAAGTGAGAAAATGTCTTCGATGGACTTGGAGAAGCTGAAGATGACGGGAGCTGGTCGAGCCATAGCGGTGCTGACCAGCGGAGGAGATGCACAAGGTGACTTTTTCAGCTGCTAAGTTTGATTCAAATGACATATATCATTATTTATACGTGTAGGCATTAAACAAGGTTTCTACAACAAATGCTTTCGAGAGCAAGAATATAAATTAGCACTCTGTTAAAGTAGTTAAGTTTATATTAATAACTCCCAATTACAGCTGGATATATTTCCCTTCTGTTCAATGAGCAGCATACAGTTCACTTCCTGTTGATTTACAATGGTGAAAATAATGTACACTTAATCAGTCAACTACTGTACTTGAGTAGGCTACAGTTTGAGGACGAGCCCACCTGTGCTTAACTTTAATATGGCCACAAAGCAACTAAAAGGCAACTTTACTTTTTTCTGAACTAAATCGCCCACTTAAGTAACTTTGAACCAACAGATGAATCTATTTATTGCATTATTTACCATTGAATTATTTTCCCCAGAACACCTGAAGTTGTAGGATGAACCATTGATTGTAATATGCATGTTTTACCTTTTGTAAATAATATATTTTTTTTTTTAACTTGTGTGGTAGTTTGAGAATATGACTTTTACTTGAGTATTACTACACATTGTTACTTTAAGCTAAGAACATAATCTGACTAGTGCTGTATCAAGATCTAGTTGAGTACTTCTTGTCAGGACTGTGATTGCTGTTTCAACAGAGCGGGTGGCACCTTTGCCCAGTAAGAGATAGTGAAGTCATATCCACTACATGTCCTCAAGCAGGGCTATTGTGCAACAGCTTGTGTGTAATGACTTAAGAAGCAGATTTAATAGTAATATTTCTGTGCAATTGTCCTTTACCCAGGGATGAATGCTGCTGTCAGAGCTGTGACAAGAATGGGCATCTATGTGGGAGCGAAGGTCTATGTTATATATGAGGTAAAAAAAAGAAGCTGTTTCATTGTGCTGATGAAAATATCCCCCTACTACATACAAACTGTGTCAGTACACACAATATGAAAAACATCTGTTACTGTTCAGGGATACCAGGGCCTGGTGGACGGGGGAGACAACATCAAACTGGCACACTGGCACAGTGTGACCAACATCATCCAACAGGTACGATTAAATATTAACCTCAATGGCTGTTGACAGCAGTGGTAAGGATATTTAATATGCCATTTACCAAGCAGACATTTTAACATGTCAAATAAACACACAGGTATCTATTAAGGTCTCCAAGCAACAAGCTAAATGCTAAATTTAGGATAGCAGAACTATCGTTAATTATTTGACTTACACCTTTGCCTTTCATACATTATGTCAAAATCTCTGCCTGTCGAGTCTTACAGTGATTGTATTATGATTTATAGTTTGTGTTATCTTCTTTTTTTTCTCAAATGTTTCTCTTTTTCTCTTTTTTTTTTTGCCTGTCTAATAATGGTTACAAACTGGTAAGGGGCCTTGCTGCATGGGCTTTAAGCGACATCTCTTCATGAAGCAGCAACTAAGCACTAAAACCAAAGACATTCAGAAACACTCCCACTTGTCCATTTTGCAGCTGTCTGAAATGTATCTAGCATATTGCTGAGGGGGATGCAGTTATTTTGTGAAGCAAATGTATTGTATGGTTTTATTGGTTTGTTAAGCTTCATTATAGTTTATCACTGATTCCCATTCGATTTCACTTATGTCCCATTAACACAAAGCAATATCTGCTTGCCTGCTAATTTCAAGAGCAAACTCCCAGAAATATGAAGCACATTTTTTTCTTGTCACCGCTTTGTGTGAGTGATAATCACAAATCTCAGGTGCACTGCTTGTGGCTTTGTTTCATGCCTATATTTCATTGAATCTGTTCCTTCAATCTGTTGTATCTTAACCAATCCATCGTTTGCAAAGTTAAAATAAATATTGCTCTTTTAGTGTGACATTTTTAAAGACACATGACATTGTTTGTCTTGCGGCTTTGTTACATGACTGCAGGGTGGGACTGTGATTGGAAGCGCCCGCTGCAAGGCCTTCACCACTCGGGAGGGGAGGCTTGGCGCTGCCTTCAACCTGGTGAAGAAAGGCATCACTAACCTGTGCGTGTGCGGTGGAGACGGCAGCCTCACAGGAGCGAACATTTTCCGCAGTGAGTGGAGCGGCCTGCTGGATGAGCTTGTAAAGAAAGGTAAAGTGCTCAAGAAACCATTATCAACTAGTCACTAAGCCTTACTTACTTAATGTAAGATTGTTTTATATTAATACTTGTGCAGCTGGTAATTCAATTAAAAAAAACTTTATTAGTCTCACTAGGAGCAGTTAGTTTGAAAGAGCTTGTACCAAAAAAACATATGCATTATGTAACCTGCCAGTTTAATATCTGCGATAATGAACCTGTGTTGTCCTAATCAGGGAGGATCACAGACACGCTGGCCAAGCAGCACGACCACCTGAACATCGTGGGTCTCATTGGCTCAATCGATAACGACTTCTGCGGCACAGACATGACCATCGGGGCCGATTCTGCACTGCACCGCATCATGGAGATAATTGACGCGATCATGACCACTGCACAAAGGTCAGAAACTGTGATGTTGAACAGCGGCAGAACGCACGAAACAGTTGGTAAAAAGCAGCTATTGTGAGGTCATGGACAGAAGTGTTTCTTTCTAAATCACTAAAAGTAAGATTTAACAACAACAACGCAGGAGAACTTCCTTGGAAAGATGTGAATAGATACATCTATATCATTGGTAGTTATATTGATATCTCACAGTTGTGATTAAAATACTAGCAGTTGAAGTCCTGTGTCAGACGTACCGTAATGGAATGCAAACATCTCTGTGAAGTTGTCAGAACTCGTCTCTACCTTTCAAACCTTGCAGGAACTACTTCCAGTGATCTCGCCCAGACTTGCCCCATTTCCTGCATGTTGCTACAATCTGAGTAATCTCAGTTTGCCCACACATATTGTTGCTGCAATTGTTCATTAGCTTTTTTTAATATAAATGTTGTGTCCCTCCTGCAGCCACCAGCGCACTTTTGTTCTGGAAGTCATGGGGCGACACTGTGGGTGAGTAACACCCCGACACATTTTACTATCCTGTATGTTCTGCCGTGAATATTATGACAAATGATTGTGCTGGTGTTATGTGCTATTCCTCTAGATATCTGGCCTTGGTGTCTGCACTGGCCTCTGGAGCAGACTGGCTCTTTATTCCAGAGCTTCCTCCGCTGGAGGGTTGGCAGGACCGTATGTGCGCCCGTCTAGAAACGGTATGACATGAAAACAAGATTATTAGCCACAGGCACATATGTGTTTTTTTCACAGAAGAGGTTTGTCTTTTTTAGAGTGAGTATTAATGCTCTTTGGTTAACATGCATTTTTCGACTGACTTTTTTTCATGATTGCACTTACTGACTCACTGGCAGTGGCTAATATGTACATATGTGTATCTTTTTTTTTTTTTCAGAGCCGCATCAAGGGATCCAGGCTTAACATTATCATCGTAGCAGAAGGTGCAATCAATAGAAATGGAGAGCCCATATCCACAACTTACATAAAAGATGTAAGTGTAAAGATTAAAGAACAAGGGGGGATTGATGACTGGCTGTGATGTAATAGCTGCCCAACAACAGAGTGTAGTATGATGTTGAAATATCAATGAAATGTGTATCTGGAAAATGCTTTTTTTAAAGGTGTTAAATGTCTGTAGTACATGAGGAATACACATGAACTCTAAAAAACTCATATCTCTCTGTTGTGTACGCCCGCTAAATGGCATAACATAATACTCTGAAATGCTTCCATGTCTGTTTGAAGCTGGTAGTAGAGAGGCTGGGTTACGACACCAGAGTGACAGTACTCGGGCATGTTCAGCGTGGAGGAACTCCCTCAGCATTTGACAGAATACTGGTGAGTTTGATAACGTGCATATTTTGAAGCAAAAATGCAGCTTTGAACATTGAGGAACATTAAAAAGTTTGATGTCACACAAATGATCCATTTCAGGTTCAGGTGATTTTATTTGTACCTGTAGGTAAATTTGGTTGTAGGGAGAGTCACATATACTTAATAAAACACAGACAATACATAAAACATATGTAGTGCAACATCTCAGAAGTGCATAGTCAGCAATAGTTTGAACACATAACTGCAAACCTAAAGTCCCCAATATATAATAATGTAGCATGACCAGAAGAAAACTTTGTTCTGATTAGCCGAAGGTACCATTAGTCTATTAAAATATGCTGATGACAACTCAAACAAAGATCTGATACTACAACAGTGTTGTTGTTTTTTTTCCAATCAGTATACAAGGTTAACTGCTGTTTACCACTAAACATAGTTTACACTACTTTTTGACTGGTGAAACTTAGCTGAACTTGCTACAAAAAAACCCCACACAGTGTAAGTTCTATACACCATAAAAGGAGCTCCATGGTTGATATAAAAGAAGATTTATTTTTTGGGCTTTTTGTGCCTTTTAATGGAGAGACAGGACAGTGGATAGAGTTTGAAATGAGGGAGAGAGAATAGGGAATGACACGCAGTAAAGGACCCACAGGTGGGTACAAACCTGGGCCGCCCGCTTGGAGGACTACATCCTCTGTACATGGAGCGCGCGTACTAAACACTGTGCCACCAGTGCCCCATAAAAATGTGTTTTGAAGTTCAAAATGTACAACAGAATAGTGTAACAAATCTTGTATAAAGAACTACATATATTATGACAATTATAGGTGATTGGTAATGTTATGTACAATGGCCAGTGAAACATTTACATACTTCTGTTTAGATGCTTTCTTTACATCCTTAGTAAGCTTAGAAATATTAAACATGGTCAAATCTGTGTCTAGATGAGTTATTCTCCATAAAACCACTACAACGTATTACTCATGATACCCTCCATCACTTGATCTATTCAGCTGAGTGCTAATTGAAGCCTCTCCTGTGTGTTCAGAGCAGTAAGCTGGGGGTGGAGGCGGTGGTGGCTCTGATGGAGGCCTCTCCTGACACACCCCCCTGTGCCATCGGCCTGTCGGGTAACCAAGCTGTCCGTCTGCCTCTGATGGAGTGTGTTGAGATGGTGAGTCACCCTCCTGTCTTCCATAATTGATTTTAAAGGAAGTTGTGCCATAAGTGGAAGGTTGATGTTTTTTTCTAACTCCGTCATCATTTGCAGACTAAGTTGGTGCAGAAGGCCATGAATGAGAAGCGGTTTGAAGAAGCTGTTAAACTGCGTGGAGGGTGAGAACTACGCCGTGTTTATTTAAATTAAGTAGAAATGAATCATTATATTGAAATAGTGCTGTGATGTGTCATCAATTCATGTTAACTTCATTTTCTGTAGGAGTTTTGAAAACAACTTGAATATCTACAAGCTCCTTTCCTTCCAAAAGCCTTCCCAGGCTCAGGTAAATCGAACACACACACACACACACATACACACATACACACATACACTGTATTTTAAATAACACACTAAAGACACAAAGGTTAACCCAAATGTGCTCTTTCTTTCCTCAGAGCAATTTCTCTTTGGCTGTTCTGAACGTGGGAGCTCCTGCTGCAGGGATGAATGCAGCCGTGAGATCTGCCGTGAGAATAGCGATGGCTCAAGGGCATAAGGTCTATGCTGTCCATGATGGCTTCCAAGGACTCGCCAAAGGAGACGTGAGGCCTTCTACTTTTAAACCTTCCCCACACTGCAGTTTATTTTCTAAACAAGTGAACTGTATGGAAAGAAATGGTTTAGAGCTGATACTGTCTGCAGGTTTTTGAGATGGAATGGCACAAAGTGGCAGGATGGACCGGACAAGGAGGATCACTACTGGGAACCAAACGGTGAGCGTTTGTGCACTTTGGACGCGTTTTGGGACTTGAGGAAGACATATTTTCTTTTTTAAAGCAGAAAAAAACATCAAAATTGATGCTGAAGAGGTTTTGACATTGCTCTTTATACTACGTTAAGGATCTCTTTGATATTCCTGGATTTCTCTGCGATCAAGGGCAGGGTGTAGAAATGATGAGCAGGTCTGCCCTACAGTGAATCAGGTTTTTTTTTTTTTGTGGTGAAGTGACATGAAAACAATAGTGTAAAACAAACATTCTTACTCGTTTCAAAACACTAAATGTTTTGTAGGAGGTGACACATCCAACTCTCTCATGAAGTTTGTCGCAGGACATCCAACCATCACATTGAAAAAAAGAAAAAGTTCTGCACACTACTCTTGCTGGGCATCACCAATTTATTAGAAAAAAAAAAATCATGTCTCAACCCTCTGAACCTTTGTTATGTATGTTCATTAGTACACTCTTTTCAAAACAACAAAGGAAGTTGTCATAATGCAACTCACTACTTTGTTAGACATTGTGAAATTCAAGGGCTCTAGTTTCTAATGCAGATTTTTGGTTTAATATATGCAGTCTCCAAGCCAAAGATGATGTCATCTTGGTAATTTCCCCTGCTTTGAAAAAATTGTAATTGACAAATTACTGTTTCTGTTTCATGTCCTTTTTCAGAACTCTTCCAAACAAACACCTGGGGAAGATTGTGGAAACCATCACCAAGTTCAGCATCTCAGCTCTGCTTGTAATTGGAGGGTTTGAGGTATGACTCACAGCCCTTTAAAGAACCAGAGCTGAATCACATGTATATTCATTTATAGTGTCAATGCTACATCAAAGACGTTTTACATCTACCTCCTGGTGACTTTCAAAGGGTTACGAAGGTGTGCTGCAACTGTTTGAAGCCCGGGGTCGCTACGATGAGCTCTGCATCCCCATGTGTGTAATCCCTGCCACCATCAGCAACAACGTCCCCGGAACCGACTTCAGCCTCGGAGCAGACACGGCCGTCAACGCTGCCATGGAGGTAACGCTGAGCAGATGGCAAATTAACAGTGTGACTTTGATGTTTCAGGCCTAACATGAATAGAGATGAACCGAGCCAGAGAACATCTCGTCTAATATGAGCTGCTGTATAACACAGATACACTTTGAACTCTCTGAGCAGTGTCAACAACAGAGATGTCGGCGTGGATTTAGCTTTAGATTTTATCTTTCAACTTTGACAGGAAGCAGATAAATTAGACAGGACTTAAGTTTATCCCTGTCCTTCTATATTTAGCACCACACTTTTCTTTCAAACTTCCTTTAAGGAGCTTTTCACCTGTTCACCTTTAACTGCTTTTAAGGTTTATGAGAATTAAAGTAGAATTTGTCTCTCTTCACCTTCATGGTTTGATTTTTTGACTCCCTTTCACTTACCATGTGTGCTTTTACAATGATTTTTAATTTCCTCCTCAGGGTTGTGACAAGATCAAGCAGTCAGCCAGTGGGACCAAAAGACGAGTGTTTGTGGTGGAGACAATGGGGGGATTCTGCGGCTACCTGGCAACCTCTACAGGCATAGCTGTGGGAGCTGATGCTGCCTATATCTTTGAAGACCCCTTCAACATCCATGACCTGAAGGTGAGAGAAAAACGTTTTTTTTCTGAATCATCAATTAAACATTTGTAGAAGAATCTGTCTCTTTAATGATTTGGCTTTCTGACAGACCAATGTGGAGCATTTGTCTGAAAAGATGAAAAAGGACATCCAGAGGGGTCTGGTGCTGAGGTACACAACACTCATACAAACATTTACACATTGGATATATCTATGCTTTCGCTGCCTTAGACACCATTCAGTCTATCTCCTTTACAGTGAGTCTGTGTTTGTATATTTCCATACTGTGAAACCACACTACAGACTGTACAGCCGAGATAACAGATAGGAGGCTTTATTAAAAACTACATGTTAACATAAGTGTGATAACCCGGCACTGACAATGAGAGTATGCTGATGTTTAGCTGGTTGTATAAATCTGGTTCAACACCTGAGTGAACATGCTTCATTTTCTTATACATATTTTGATAACAAGGAGAATAATTTAAGTTTAGGGGTATTTTGTTCTACAACAGTTTTTATTTAAACATCAAATTGCATTAAAATGGTATTTTGACCAGATTAAGGTTTTAAATGTTGATTTCTAAGATCAGCAAAGTTTTTGGGATTCATCCACTGTGGCACTATTGTGGTTATGGCAGGTGTTCTAAAAGTAAACATATTTTAGTTTGGACGGCAAACTGACCAAAAGACATCCTTTAGAAACACACTCCAAGTCTTTAACAATTCATATGACCAGTTAAAAAAAAAAAACTACATGGCATATGATGAACTGCACACTTTTTATGCAACATTAGTGTTTCCTGTGGTTAATTTTTTTTCTTTTCTTGTCTCAACAGAAATGAAAAATGCCATGAGAACTACACTACAGATTTCATCCACAGGCTGTATTCATCAGAGGGGAAGGGCATCTTTGACTGCAGAGTCAACGTGCTGGGACACCTTCAGCAGGTGCAGAGACACCACACTGCATCCATCAAGACAGTACACAAACTCACAAATAATATCAGTTGCATTGACAATAGGAGTCTGTCTTATTCCCAGCTTGTGCTTGTGTGCCCTAGGGAGGCTCGCCTTCTCCTTTTGATAGAAACTTCGGCACCAAGTTGGGTGTGAGGGCTATCCAGTGGCTTTCAGAGAGAATGACTGAAAACTTCAGACAAGGTAGTGTTGATGTATAGACCTATAGTTGACATAAATATATAGTTCGATAAAACAAAAAGTCAAAGTCACAGCAATGTCATTCCCAATATGTTTTCCTGTCAGGTCGCGTGTTTGCCAACTCACCAGACACAGCGTGTGTGCTCGGTCTAAACAGGAAGGTCATCTCATTCATCCCAGTAACTGAACTGAAGGAAGTGACTGACTTCGAGTAAGCAAATTAGAAGTGTATTGACATAAAGTGTTTCATTATTTATCAGTGCAAGTAAATTGTGAACTTTGATTTCCAGACACCGGATGCCAAAGTTCCAGTGGTGGCTTACACTTCGGCCGCTGCTCAAAATGTTGGCCAAATACCAAACCAGCTTCTGTGAATATGTCCCCGGAGAGATCGAGCATGTGACTCGACGCTCCATCAGCATCGACTCTGGGTTTTAGGCTCTCTGACAAGGCAATATTCTCTGTGCACTTTCAACCCTTATCCTACTCAGATACTACGGAGCTTTACCTGGAGACAGGACGCAAGACTTTAAAACGTAACATTGATCTCAGTGTGTTCTTGTATCATAGTAGCTACTGAATGTTCAATCATGTAAAAAATGTACTTCAAGAGTTCACAACATATTGAATGAGATTCAACAGTGCTGGTTTTGTTTTGTAATGTGCAACAGTTAAGCCTTTGTATGGTCAAATCACTGCATAAAGACAACCAGGTCCGCCATGAAGATGGAATTGTATTAATTTACTACAGAATTTATTTTCAAAAACATTTGAGGTATGTGGTTTAATGGTTTTTGTTTGTTTTACTTTCAATGTCACAAACCATAAGTAAAATAAGTTTTTGTATTTATGTGCTTTGTTAGCTGAAAGTGAGAACTGCTAAAAGAAATTTTTAAACTCCCTTTATATTTCTCACAAAACTCTGTGAGCTGGCAGGTTGGTTTGAGATGATCGCACTAAAGAGGACTCAATGTTGAAGCCCATAGTTAATGCAAAGCAACTAAAAATCTGTATGCATATAAAAGCAGTTGATTACACTCTAACACCAAAACTATTGTACTTAAAATCAAGAAATGTCTTCACATGGCGCAGATGGCCTAGTGATTAGGTCGCATCCCAGATACAGTCCTCCAAACAAGCCACCCGTGTTAGAGTCCAATCTGTTCCTTCTTCTCCTCATTTCCTCGTCATTCCCCTTGCTCTCTCTGATTTCGTACTCTATCCCCTGTCCTTTCAAAATAAAGGCTAAAAGCCCAAAACTTAATCTAAGACCAAAAGAAAGGAATCGCTCCATAATTATAAATGTATGAATTATTTTAATAATAAAATGTAACAGAATTTATTGAACAAGCAAATAAAAACCAACCAAAAATAATCAAAGAGGAATGCTTTTTAACTTTCAGGTTGACTGTTTCATGTCTAAATTAAACTGTGAACACTTGAGAACTTAACATGTGAGAGCATGAACAAAGGCACTCATGGATGAACTGTTCTTACAAACAAAACACTGAAGATGTATTTTGTATAACTTTTAAAAGTTAAATGAAAATGTGAAATCATCTGCTGGGTTATCTTTTTTTGTAGTCTTAGGGCTCTTTGCAGCAAAGGCAAACTGGAAGTCCTCATTTTGCTCTGGTTGGCCGAACGGAAAGTCAGAGCCTGTAAAAAAGAATGTACATACCTGAAGTTCAAAGCAGCTCACATGTCACAGAAAACAGAGATTTAAGTGGCACTTACAGCTTGGAGACTTTGATTCTGATGTTTTCTGAAAAGATATGAACATATTGTCTTTATTTCAGTATTAGTAATACTGTTTAAACTGAAGAGGGGTTAAAATGACAGAGCTGTACCTTCTCATTGAAGAAAGGGCTGGTGAAAGCGAACGATGAGTCCTGTAAAGAAACTTGATGTTTATTCCAACATTAAAAACAGGGATTTTCTGTAACATCACTCCTTCCCTCTGCCTACTCCTCACCTCATCCTGTGCTGAGCTCACGTCAAATCCAAATCCAGAGAACCCTGGAGTGCTGGGATCAGGGTTCAAAGAGAACAGGAAAGCTGGAGATTTGGTGTCAGAGGTCCCTTGACGTGGGGAGTTGGCAGGGCTAAAGCTGAAGTGAACACATGAAACATGGATCTCAGAAGTTGTCGACCGTGCTTCAAAGCATTAGACAGCTCAGATGAAGCCTTACTTAAATGGGAATGTTGGGGTTGATGGTGCAGCTTTCACTGTTGCTGAGGACGACTGCGGATTAGTTTCTTGAGATGATAATTGAGGAAAAGCAGTAGGTCCTGTGTTCTCTCCACTTGGTGCCTGCTCTCTCTCTTCAGCTAATCCTTCCTCCAACTCCTCTTCCTCCACTGCTTCCTCTGCTGCAGCAGACTCACTTTCCTACCCAGTAAAAAACTTGGTTTGAGAAAGAGTGAAAACTTTGAAATTGCATCAACAACATAGACTGTGATGGCACTATTTATCAAAACATGAAACAATCTGATACAAGACTATTTTTTATTGTCCTGCTGTGGAGCAGTTTAATTTTCAGTCTTTACTTGTGAAGAAGTTCTGAATGATAACTTCCCTACTGTATGGATTACTAAAGGTAACCTGAGATTATTTCTGGAAAGAGATTCTGCTTTTTTGTTTACCACTGATAACACAACACAATGATGCTGTAAGAGATATTAAAACATATGTGAAATGATTAGTGTTTCAGGTCAACAAGTGGGAGACTTGGGAAAATGGGAGAGATCAAATCAGATTTTAGTATAGATTTAACTTGAAAGACATTATCCTAAAAGTTGCAATTTGAAGGTTGAAGTACTAGAACGTAAAGATTACCAGGACTTGTCGTCCAGTTTCCGGGTTTTCCTCCTCAGTATGCATCACATCCGGCCATCTTTGTTCTGCAGAAAAAGCTATTATGTTCCATTAAAAACATGGAATAGTGTGCACAATTGCTGGCATAAAATAAAATACATTGCTGACTCTCTTTTTCTTACCATACAGCTGTTGACATGATGCCATCCCATTGGCTTCTTCTTCTTCTTCTTGGACGGGGCTGCACATGCTGGTATCCTGGAGCTCATTCTCCTCACAATTTTCTTCAGCACTCACCTCTACAGATATTTCATCATCCTACAAAATGTTTGTAAATCAAAAATTAAAAATTAATCAAAAATGGGAGGTGGTTGTAACAGGAAGAGGATTCAATATTTATAGCATGCCATTATTTTTGATTGTGGGTCTGAGTACTTTGGTCTGGTTTAAATGAAGAGAGGAGATGTTGATGGAAGAATCAATGTCCTCCGTTTGGGGATCCAATTGTTTCTCTGGTCCTGTTATAAGCTGCTGTCCAGAAACACTAGGAACAAAAGAGGACTCAATCATAAAAAAAACTAAGCTTTGCTTGAGGCTACATGTCATTTGCTGTCATCTATAAGATACACTATAAAAAAAATACCTATCTGGTGGTTTCTCAGTAGAGGAAGAGTTGGCTTCTTGACCTGAAATTAAAGAAGTCGAAAAAAAAAAGGGCTGCAAATACTTCAGCACTACCAGAGCAAGTTATATACCGATATCAAAGTTTATTACCTGAGAGATTGTCCAGTTCCTTCTGTTTCATGGTGATCTGATCATCACAAGCCTTGATCCTAGACTCAATCTCCTCTTTTTCAGCCTGGAGCGCGAGGAGCTTTTTTGCATGAGGATTTTGGCAATAATAGTCTTTATGAGATTGAAATGTCTTCTTATAGCTTGCGATTTTCTCTTCGTAGACGTCCCTTGTAGAGTTAGAAATAAAGAAAAATACAGCTTTATAATGTCTTGAAAAAATGTATGGATTGAATTGAACAGCTAGCTAAGTGAACCCACATGTCATGGTTGTATCTGTCTCTTCTGGTCTCCAGTTCTTCTTTCAGTGTCTGCTCATATTGAAGAAGCAGGCTGTTTGTCGCCTTGATGCTAAAGTAACACAGATAACAGAAAGAAAACATTTGTAACATGTGAACATTACAGTCATCCAACACGGTTTGACTCGGTAATTATTACCTACAATTCTACAATTCACTTAGCAGACACTTTTATCCAAAGCGACGTACATCAGAGAGTAAGAACAACACAAGCAAGGATCTAGAAAAAAGGGAACAATGTCAGTAAGAGCAAACGATCAGCTTTGAGTCCGATTGGACACACAGGTGCTGACAGGAAGTGACCAGAGGCAAAGCACAACATTGAGGGCAGTTCTTGAGAGCTCTAATCAGTATAGAAACCATCTTATAAGTCGTCATTATCAAACAAAAACCATCGTCACAACCATCATCATCATCAATAATATGGAGACCATCATCATTAAGTTAGTAGGTATTCATGAAAGAGCTGGGTCTTTAACTTTTTCTTAAAGGTGCAGAGGGACTCTGCAGATACAATGGAGTTTGGAAGTTCATTCCACCACCGGGGGGCGACAGAGGAGAAGAGTCTGGTCTGCGTCTTAGGACCCTGTTGCGAAGGTTGGATCAGAGCGTCATTAGCAGAGCGTCGTGGGTAGTCATCATACCTTTTAGCACATGCTTTATTGTGCATCAGCGTGCTCTGCTTCACGATGATTTCCTCATCAAGTTTCTTTGTATTTCTTTGTATTGTTTCAATGAAAGACTTCCTCTCAGCAATGTCGGCTCTGCAAACTTAAAAAAAATGTAGCACTTGATGAAAAACCACTTCAAGAAATAAATGTAGGGTAAAGTATCTATCAGTTTTCTATCTTTCATACAGATGTGTAATAACTACATCTGTTAGACATACCTTGAATTTGTTGGTTGATTTCATTTTTCTTTTGAGAAAGCTCCCGAGTTTGAAGAGCTAAAAGTATAAAGAAAGAATGGTTATGAATGTGAAGGAAACAAACTAAAATCTTTCTTGAATTGATCACGAGGTTTAAAGCTCCTGTCATGATTTTTGCTGAGGTCAGCAACCCATCCGGGTACTTTGCCCAAACGATGCCGGCCCCGCCCCTTTCTGGGCGAAATCATTCCATCTGAATGAATGTTGATTAATGGACAAGTTGGGGACACTGAAAGACACTTCCTGCTGACGTCATGAACACTGAAAGATACTTCCTGTTGACGTCATCAACACTGAAAGACACTTCCTGCTGACGTCAGTAAAACGAGCAGCTAGCTTGATACACTCTTGGCTAACTTAGCTAGCTAAACCTCTTATAATGCAAAGTAATGCAAGAAAACGTTATAAATAAACTCTAACCAAAAAAACAAACATTAACTCGAAAACTGAACTCACCAAATTGAAAAAGCAGGTTTTCAATATCATCAAAAGAATAACGGTCGTTCATTTTGACACACCTGTAACAACTGTCAAACTGAGGGTTATCAACGGTCCGTAGGGGCGCATGCGCAGTTCGTCGCACCTTTCAAAATAAAATAAACATTATGTTTTTATCAACCAGAAGAACACTTTCATGTTGTGTCGTATTATAAATCATTAAATGATATAAATGTTAGGGTAACGCATAGATTTTGTGGAATGGTCTTGACGAAACGATTAAACAAAGTATGAATATAATGCAATTTAAAAAATTTTACAAAAGATATAGCTTTGAAAAGTACAAAAATGAGGAAGGAGAATGTAAATCTCACAGATGTTAATGGCGCCTGTTCATTTTGTTTTGCATTTGTTAATGGTGAAGAATGGGGGTAGGAAGCCTAGGCTTCTTCCTATCCCTATTCGAACGAGTCAAATGTGTATTATATTGAAATTGACTTTTTTTTATACTGATTTTTTTTCCCATTTGTTTATTCATTTTCAGATATTTTTTAATCGTTCGAAATAAAGAAATA